CCGGCGCGAGTGAGCTGAGTCGTCCACGGCGGCGTACGCTGACGGGGCTACCACTCCGCACGAGAGAGCAGACGGCCGCATCCGCGCGCGCAGAGGACCCGCACCGGGCGGGAGGGGCGGCGCGTGGACCGGCCGGCGTGCGGTGCGCGCAGACGTGCCGCGGTCGAGGTACCGTGTGGCGGGAGACGGCGCGAGATGGCGCGAGACAGCCGGGCCGCCGGACCGCCGTAATACCCTCCAATTACGCCCCCAGTTGTGAAGAGAGACGCCGGGAGCGGCCGCGCAACGGAGAGCCCGGTATGCGGCCGCAAGGTCGCGGCCGAGGGCCGGCTGGCGCCCACGCGCCCGGCCCGCCCGCGGCCGGTGCAGCGGTAGATAGTGACCGGAGGCGCCACCACGGAATTGGCCTGCAGAGGTGGCCGGCCGTTCAGGGTCTGGCGCACGGGTGGGCTAGCGTGGCAAAGGTGAGCAGGTATCGCAGAGATGGGCGGGTGTTGCAGGGGTGGGCGGGTGTCGCAGTGTGGTGTCGCGGGGTGGGTTAGCCTCGCAGTGGTGGACGGGCGTCGCAAGGGTGGGTTGGCGTCGCAGTGGTGGGCGAGCGTCGCCGACGTGGGCTGGACTTTAAGAGCTTGGCCAGCCTCAAATCCCGATCCAACTTTGCGGCAATGGGTCGGCCAGGGAGGAGCTAGACGTCAGAGGATTCCCCGGAGCCGGCAGCGAGGCAGCCCTGCTCAGACGAGGTGCGCTGGACATTGTCGTAAGTGGAGACGTCCGACGACTTGGTGTTAATCAGTGGGAGCACAAGGAGCACCGTGGGGCATCAGACGCTTGGTTGGACGAGCTGGGACGAGGGACGAGCCGCACGAGTCGAGCCTCAGCGGCGAACGAGCCGCAGCAGGGGCCAATCCCCGCTGGAAATCACCGCCGGTTCCATCCCCGCGCGCCGCCGCCGCTTAATGCTTACGACCGAGCCGGGCGGTGATGGTTTCAATCTGCGAGGCTTTACGACGCGCAGCTGTGCGTCAGTTTTGACTCCAGCGTCCGATTACGATGACTTAGCGATAGCCGGGGCTCACGCGTCTCTGCAATCGTGCGGGGGCGGCTGCCTACAGCGCAGCGCCGGCGGACGCGCGCGGCAAAACAGGCCGCTGCGCGTCCGCCCCGGCGCCGGCGCAGCGCCGTCACTCAGCCTGCAAGCACCGCACGCTGCGAGCAGGTATGATAGAGGGCTCGGGTTACTGCGGAGCCGGCGTGGCGCTGGCGAGGCCCGGCTTAACAAGGAGGGGAGGTGGGCGATGTTCCGGAGATGCGTTGTAGTGCTCTCGTAATGGTCATGTGAGGGACATTCACCCCCCCAAGATGAGCGTTATTTAGTGCGAACGAGTCAACCCGAAATAATAACGGGCCAATCACGGCTCAGATTGAAGGAGTCTTGAGACTAACGGATTTAGGGACTTGGGTCAGGAGTAGTTTCAGAGATAAGCGTTCCCAAATGAACATTCGCCTGGGGCCTGACCACCACACGCGCACCCAGCGCCCGAGGAACGCGGCGCCCAATCCCGCCTGTCAAGTCCGATGAAAAGCATAGAATTAAGCTGACTGGGCCCCCGCAAAAACCCGATCCAGGAGAGGTCATCCACCTCCGGTTATTCCTTTCCTACCGCTGCCCGATTCGTTTAACCCTCGCAGAGCCCGGCGCTGGCTAATCATCATTCCGGCGCCCCAACGGCCGATGCGCGGTCGAGTTTCACGCCTGAGCGAGCGAAGCGCCGGACGAAAGAGGTACGCCTCAATTAAAAGCGAGTCCTTTATGTGCGGTCAGAGCGGCGCATAATGCAGCTTTTCAGTGCGCAGCTGCGTGAAAGCGCGAAAGGGCAAACGGAGCGAAAATGGTAGGATCGCCCGGCGCGCCCGACGGAAAAGAATCGGCAACGTCAAGTGTCCGGTGTCACGGCTCTTCACTGTGCCGATGGGGCTGACTGCTGTTCCGCTCAGTGGATCGCGCAACGGTCGGGGCGAATGGCGCACGATGGTGTCGCTATTGTCACGGAAATGTGGTGATCGCACGGCGCCAGCAGACACGAGCAGGGGCTGACGCGGGGTGCCCTCCATGCGCTGCTTTATTGGTCTTCACGCGTCACTTGATGTGCGGAGGGAACAGATTCTGACGAAAACCAGTTCCTCGGGTTTGTAATTCTCCTGCATGCCTTATTAACTTAATGTAACTGGAACTTTCTTCCAGACCTCGGGTATTCCGAGCGACAGGTGATTTGTATTCAGTGCCTGGAACACGACGCCATCGGCTAAATATTTAACGAACACCAAGGTTCTGGCTGATCGATCTGTATCATTCAACGATATCGATGACACCAAGACGAAGTAGTTAGCCGCTATCAGTCAGCAAAACTTGGCACAAAAAGACGATCTGTTAAGATGTGATCGATATCTAACACGCTGGCCACCGCTGTTGATAATCATTACGCACAAATGACTGCCAGTTATGTAAGCTGTGCTTAGATTTGCGATGATAATCTAGTTGGCAAAAATGCAAACTAGAACAACTCATCTCAGCTAGACTTACAAATAATTATTACTCAAGTACTCAGAGCAGTTGTTCAAGGCGTTTTCGTAGTTCTCCGGACACCACTTATTAATCCACGAAAAGTCGCCAATTTGTTTGTGTAGTTAAGGTGAATATAGCTTGAAGGGAAAACTCATGACCATCTTCTTTTTTGCAAACTTGATTTGCCGAGAACGACTACACACATCCAACCGTGTGTGGCAGCCGACAACAGCGAGTGGCGCTACACACTTATTTGGTTCTCCCTTGAGTATGAAGTATAAACACCGGGGGCGTAGTTTTGCAAAATAAGCTGGGCGGCAGAAACGGCAAGGCTGAGCAAAGAAGCGGGGTTCTCCACAGATTCGGCCCATTTTTTAATCTCAAAATTGGGGACTGGAGCCCCCCCCCCCCCCCCCCACCATTCTGAACTGCCTTATGAAAATCATCCGGCCCGCACGAAACCATGGCCATTGCCATCGTGCCCACACACACACTTTGCGGTTTCAGACAGGCACATGGCACGGGGATGTAACATCAGCTCCCACGCGCAGGCACACTGGCTGAAATCGCTGCAGGACCAGTTCCGTGCAGCACACGAAAGCGCCAAATCTCGCAGTCAAGACAGCGAACCCGAAGTCTGGCGGTCAAGACAAAGACAACCGCAAATGCGCTGAGACGCGCGGCGGGGCGGCGAGAAGTAAAGTGTTTGTTTAAGAAAAGGTCTCTGTTTCGTAAACTGGTGGTCACATCAACGTATCGCTTCTTTTACTGCAAACATGCAGTCGTTGCTTATACACCGCATCACTTCTATTGCAAAGACTTACATGCGACGTAAGTGCTACACCAAAGGTTTCTAGCCAAAAATTTGCCGCAGATGTAATGACTGGCAAATGTTTTTGCAGCGTAAGTTTGGTCGTGTAGTACCCATGTCGTGTATGAGTTTTGTAGAAATACGTCGCCATAAGGGAAGGCTGCATAAGTCTGCTGCATATGTAATAACGAGTAAAAGTTTCTGCAGCATAAGTTTATTGTGTTGCACTCGTGTTGTGTTTTTGCAGGCGACGTAATGTCGCATTTAACTAAAGTCTGCATGAGCTTTTACAGTAAAAGTAATGTCGCGTACAACTGATGTAGCAATCCTGTCGGCAGGAGTTTTTGCCGTGGCACTAATGTTGTCACACCGACGGGCGGGCATGACCTTGTGACCGCCAGCACTGCCGCAGGAGATGAAAGGATAGATCCCTGCATTGGTGGAAGATAATTTCACGCCGCCGTCGGAATTGGACATAGCGCCTGTTCCGTTGTATAAAAAATTAAAACGTTCCATGTCAAATTTCTCCACACTTTCCAAAAGGATGACTGGCGAGGATGAAAGCATTTTAGGTTCCTTCTTTCCATGCGACGTCATGGGCATAAAGTTGTGCTCGGCACCGGGTGGAGACGGATCAGACTCCAGTTTTAGCTAAATTTTCTTTAAGTTTGGGTGGAATCCACTCTTCTCATTTGTTAGTCGGTCAAGATACCTAATGGGCAGGCAGCGTGGAGTACCTGGCATCTCACGCACGATACCATTCGATACTGTGCTTGATGCGTTTTAAACATGTGTGGAACAATCTGCACCGTTACATCGACCCCACTGGTTTAATGGATCGCAAGAATTTCGGACTTACTAGAACAGATGGAAATTACTGGGATTTTTTAACTCACCGGAACGGCTGGAAATTACTGGAATATTTATCTTTTCTGAAAATCTGTGGCTGAAACTGTCCAAATTGCACTTCAAAACCAGAACCCACTAGAATGTCGGGATAGGAACCTCCGTCGCAAAAAGCGCAGTCGTCAGTGCCGATACACCACAGGTCTTAAAAATTGACAAGATGGAGGAGCATTCAAGAGACATGACGGCACACGTGGCGCACACAAAAGGTGCTGCGCATCCAACAGTGATCAGTATGATTCTCTCCCAAATGTTCGAAGTCAAGTAAGTACCTTCATTTCAAACGCACCTCTGGGATGTGACAGGCAAGCTTCCTAATTTCTTACAACTGTACAACGCAGATCAGATACACATACAAATATCACAGTTCTTTTAGATACAAATATCACGCAGCCCCCTGGCTGAAGCTTCGATGACGGCGCGGAGAGGGCGAGTCGAGAACAAATCTTCTGCAGACGGCACCTAACTTCAACAAAACTTAAGAACATCTCCCGCCACGGCAAATCCAGGGCTCATCCAGTCCACGAAAGAATTATGCCTCAGGAAATGGGCGCGGACTACCGGCTACCGTTAGGAACAACGCAAGTCTAGAAATATGCACGCCTCATGGCAGTTCTCTACTTATGTATCACATGCTTCACCAGTTCCGACATGACATGGAGCAAATAAAAGGATGGTGTTTGTTAAAAAAGACGCTTTGATCTGTGACTTCGCACCTACCTGTCAAAACAAACAGCAGAACGCAAACTACGTTCACGTGCATGTTGGGACGCCGGATGCTTTCTCTCGCAATGACTAGAACATGAATGTCTTCTTTCTCACAATTGAATACCAAAAAAGATTTTGCGATGTCAATTTCCCGATCAGCCACCAGCACCTCGCACCCGAGCACCCACACTCCAACGCCAAACACAAACACTGCGCGCCAAACAGCGGGAAACTCTGGGCGCGCTCGTCGCGCCACCGACGGCAATACGAAACGCATGAAGGGTCGACTGCAACGCCATCTAAGATGTATCTACAAAGCTTGAAATCTGTAACAGGCTGCTAGGTGACGTGGCATGCTTCGATAGTTTCGAACTCTTGGGCGGTAATGCTTATTTCACAACCATGGCATTACGGGGTGCGAGTGCAGCTTCCTTTTTAGTCGGTGAGGAGAGGGCTTTATCCCGCCAACTTGGACTCAAGCCTCTTAACTTTGAGAAGACTTGCCGAATTGAGAAGGAACCCGTTTGTTGGCGTATTTTGGCAGTAAGCTACGCTATTTCCCCTCCCCCCCCCCCCCGCCAACTAATTTAGCAGAATTACGCCCCTGTTACGGGGGATAGCAAATTTGGTGATGCACCAATGTACCCACCACCATCGAGTCTCAGTTCGTAGAGGGACTCGGCTTCGTGGTTTGCGCAGATGTCCGAGTGGGACTTCCGCCCGAGCATGCCTGCATGCCATGCATGCCATGCATGCATGCCATGCCTGCGGAGCGCCTGTGCGGCGGTGAGGTGAATTCATTGCTCACGGCAGGGACATACCCTCGTAAGCTGAGGATATGTAACGAAGTAAGATGAACCATCTACTCTTCCTTCCTCATCCTTGCTTTTTCCTGTATTTTCCCGTCGCCCCGCCCGTCCGGGGCAAACCATATGATCCACCCTGGAGTGTGCTAAGTGCCCCCGTGGTGGGGACGCTGCCCCATCGCCGAGCTCATGTGCATGCGCTCGCAGCGCTTAAGTAAAACAACGAACATCAAGAGAAGATCCGAGAGACAAACGTATATTGCAATTAGCAAAAGTAGAAAACCGATCAGCTGCATACACCTGACTAGAGCATTCAATAACTTCTCATCCACTCTGCTTCAGACTCTCGTGTCAAGCATTGCACGTTGCGTACTCCTAGCTACAGCCTACAAGATCCGGTCTTCACATTATAGTTGTCTGTTCTCTCCACAGATGGCAGCGTTGGCATTCCCAGCGCGCGGGCCGCACCATCGCGGTGCTCGCGACCTCTCACTGCAGATGCACGGAAGCTTCCGCCACTCAAGTCGGACGTCACTAACACTTCACAGACCTGGGAGCAAGCTACTTAAGGTACACTGTAAAAATAGCGACGCCCCAATTCGGGCGACATTACTTCGCGCAGGATGAGTCCTCCAGTTCACAGTTCCCCGGTCGGCCAGGCGATCTTGGCCTCTAGCCGCTTGTAGGCAAGCATGCAATGCACGCCTTTGGCGGCCAAGTCCTGCTTGACCTGCTGTGGGCACTCGAGGTCGCCTACCAGCGTTTCTGGGGAGCATACAAGTGACGTCAGTACAAGGCGACTGAAAGACAGGGATGACGTCAGCATGTCTGACATCATGACGGAGTGATCTCAGCACACGCTGGAACATCTAGGCAGGGCGCACGCTGCGTCTCAACAGCCGTTATTTGTTGGTGCGATTGAACGCTATACGCAATCCAGCATTTAATGGCCCTTAACCGCGTTTCCAACCACACCAGTTTTTAAACAGCCGTGTCCGTTGCCAGATGCTAAACTGATCTCCGGAACAGCTCACCTGACCAAAAACCATCTCCTTCACACCCTTTACCAAACACCGTCCAATACCACCAAGACTAAAACACTGGCCGATGCCGGTGAACCGCGGCCAGCGCCAGCTGGCTCCTTTCCCGTAACCCCTTCCCCCCACCCCCCTCACACTGGCGGCGGTCATTCTACACATCCTGTACCAAATAGCGTCCAATCCTACCAAGACCAAAACACTACGGCCGCTGCCTGTGAACCGCGGCCAACGCCAGCAAGCTCCCTTTCTTTACCCCCCCCCCCCCCCCGCCCCTCACACCGGCGGCGTTCAGCACCAGCACCCTCACCCTCGCCGTCGATCAGCTTGAAGAGGGCGTAGTCCTGGGGGCTGGTGATGCGCAGCTTGTGGTCAAGCATTCTGCAGAGGTCGCGGGCGGTGGTGCCGGGCCGGCAGGGCAGCGTGCGGCTCAGGATGGTACCCTGCTGCTCATCCGGGATCACCACCCGCAGGAAGCCTTCCACCGTCTCGCTGCCGCTGCAAGAGCCCGAACGCTGCCGCCGCCAGCACCGACACCGGGTGAGTGCACAGGCTACACGAGCACGCACTGTCTCGTACCGCACGGGGGGGGGGGGGGGGCAGATAGGCCCTCGCTGCTCGTCGACATTCGAGGTTGAAGCTAAATGGCATGTGTTGCACGTAGCACGTGAGATATCAATCAACATGACTGCTTCAAAAGCACCGCTTTTTGCGTCGACCGTTCGTAAACTAAACGACAAGTCAAGTATCTAACAAACACGCCTCCGCACAACACCATGAAAACACTTTCCTCCGAGCACCACGTGCGGAATACACAATGAGCAGATTTCTTGAACCTCACGACTGTCCACTCCGCATGAAACAAACCCGCCTCACATCGGCAGGGCTGACCGACCCGCCGTCTCACCTGCGACAGCCGGGTGTTGGAGTCGCGGGACCTGTCACCCAGGTAGTGCAGCAGGTTCTTCAGCACGTGCACGGCCGAGGATAGCATGGTCAAGTAGTAGCCGGCCTCGCCGTTCAGCAGCAGGGGGTGCAGCAGACCCCACATGTAGTCCGCCTCGAACTGAGGGACAGCAATGCGGAGGTCAGTGGTGGCGACGAGGCAGGGTGCAAGCAAAGCCGACCAAAACGGGGTGGTCAGCTACTTAGAACTTTTGCCTGCTGTTATTTCACTGAAAGACCAAAGGTCTGCACCCGGATATCCAAAGGAAGATTCAAAAATCGCTCACGCAACAGCCGAATGCGTCCATTTCACCCCACCATCACGCCGAAAAAGTCGAAACAAAAGAGCCGCACAGCCGCCCTCCCACAGACCTCTTCTAGCCGCACAGATCTGATAGTTCGGCATGTGCGTCGAATACCCTCCCTGTATTAGTCATGCAGGCTGGGGGGGGGGGGCGCGAGGTCTCCGCGGTCGGCCGGCAGCGTACCTCGACATTGGTGACGTGGCAGTGGACCAGCGCGTACAGCAGCAGCGGCAGGAAGTCGTCGGCCGGGATGGAGGCGTCTTCACCGCCGGCCGCGGAGAACAGCACCGACACCGTGGCCAGCAGGCTCTCCAGCTTGTCCAGAGGACTAGCAGAGTCCTGCATCCGGCCCAGGAAGTGGCGCACCGATGCGAGCACGGCGGCCGTCGGCGGTGTCTGCTGTGGCTTCAGGCCCAGCGCCACCGCCGGGCGGCTGCGCGCGAACTCGAAGTTCTCTGCCAGCCGCTGGGTGGCGCCACTGCGCTGGGCGGCCTCGCGCCACAGGCGGCTGACGTGGTCGTGCAGCGGAGTGACGAGCAGCTCCTCCAGCACGCCCTCCAGGATCGCGTCCAGGTTCAGAAACTCGGTGGAAGACAGCTGCCAGACCGAGGTGCGGTGTTCACAAAGCCGTAGTGTCCATAAAAGCATGACGTTCACAACGGTGTGGTGTACCCAGATGCGTGGTGTGATGCTCAGGTATGCCAGGAGTGCGCCTGTCACACACTATACAAAAAGGCATGGCGTGGCCATCCCGTCACTTTCGCCTGCGTCTGGAAGCATCGCAGCCGCAAAGGTAGCAACAAAGAAGTAGCGATGCATATAGTATGTAATATCGCCGAGCCTCATGAGACACGTCATACCATTCAGACTACCTGGCCGGCATTTTGCTTCATTAAAAGGTCATCAGCACATGGTCTGCCCCCATCCTCATGCACACGGACCACACAGAAGCGCACTCAGTGGCTGCCGGTACCTTGTCTCTCTCCTGGTGCACCACCTGGTGGAACTCCGCCTCCCCGTGTTTCACCAGATAGTTCTTGATGCCGTTGCAGAACTGACGCACGTTTCGCATCACCACGTGCGGGTCCGTCTCAGCACCCTCCCGCGTGCACTGTGAGCGGACGAGAGCGGTGAAGGTGGTGCGCATACGACATAACGCACGCTGCCACCAAGGCCGATCATCCTCTGGTGGGACCAATTGAAGTGCACTTTCACATAAACTCAAGATACATCGTTGAATTCTATGTTTAGCTGTTCTGACTAACACCCACCGATGACACAGTGTCGCTCTCACCTGCAGGAAGTTAAATATGCAGAGCGCGAACGTGCTGGAGTCGTCGTTGGCCAGCTTCATGACGTAGTCCCTGATGGCCGCACCTGACTGCTGACTCTTCCGGTGAAGTCTGAGGCTGTTCAGGCGGGGCGGAGCTGGGAAAGAAGGGAGCACACGTATGAGGTCAATTGAAACGAAATGCTTTACAGCGACACATGTTTGACTAGCGAGTCAGCAGAACAAAGCTCGCTGAGCAAAACTTGTTCTTGTTCATTGAGACCTGTTGAAAAACCATCGCGAATCCTTTCAAAAAAAGCAATTTATAGGGTACACACCAGGAACTGAGACATCAAACTGCGAAAAATTACTTAAGAGCAGTGTGTGTGAACTGAGAATGAAATGATACATTCCAATTTTTGGCTTAGTTATTTATTCAACTTACCAATAAACCATTATCAAATTCATTACACACTTACCTCCAAGCAAAACGCATCAGTGTATGCGACTCCTGCACAAGCCGCATACCAACACAAAGACGCTGCGATCTAGCTGCAGCTTCCTTTTAAATCAGGATGATGACACCCGACATCGGCCGACCGCCCACTCTAAACCGAACTGTCTCGCAGTCGGTACTCACAATAAAGCGACTCCTGCTGGGAGCGAGAGAGTGGCAGCCGCGGCGGCATCAGCCGGTCCGGCATCTCCACCGCCGCCGGCTCCGTCTGCGGCGCCGACACCGGCTCCGGCTCCCGCTCCCGCTCCGGCTCGCCCGCAGCCAGCACGAACGACTCCGAGTCGGTGAACAGACGCTCGTCGGCGTCGAACTGTCCGCTGCGCAGTCGCATCTGGTCGCTCATCAGACGCATGATCGACTGCCACTTGGAGACGTCCGTGTCGGTGTCGGCGTCGGTGCCGCGGTCCGCCGCCGACGTCGCCAGCGCCGTCGCCGACGGGCGCAGGTTGTCGTACTCGGAGGCCGACACAGAGGCGGCCGGTGGCACGGCCAGCGGCAGGCTCTGCCGGATGATGGCGTGCACGATACGCGTCTGCTCCTCGGGCGAGATTTCGGCGGTGGGGTCCGGCGGCGGCTCGGTGGAGGTCGTCTGCCGCGTGACCGGCCGCTCGGCCGGCGCTTCCTCGTCCGTCTCCGAGTCGGCGTCGCAGCCGTCGTCGCCGCGGCCCAGGAACTCCCAGCTCGAGTCGAGGCGCCACTGCTCGGTGCGCCCCCGGCGCGCGCGGCCGCGGCGCGCCTCCTGTGCGCGCGGCGGCGGCGCGGCGCGCGCGCGCGCCGCCTCGCCCAGCCCGCGGCTGCTCTGTGAGCGGCCGCCGCCGCGGACGGGGCGCGGCTGCGGCAGCGGCGGCGGCTGCGGCGGCGCGGCCAGCTCGGTCACGCTGCCGCCGACGCCCTCCTCGCCGGCGTCGATCGTCGGCAGCGTCGGCAGCGCGGGCCGGCGGGCGCCTCTCGCTTCCCAGCCGCGCATGTCGGGCTCCGAGTGGCGGTGCGCCGGCCGCTCCAGCGGCGCCCGGCGCGACACGCCGACCACCAGGTCCGGCTGGTGGCGCACGGCGTCGGCCGGCACGGCGTACAGCGGGCTCGGCGCGGCCGCCTCGCGGGCCATCTCCAGCAGCGCGTCGGCGGTGTCGCGGCTGGCGCGCGAGACGGCCGCCGACGTGGCGAACGGACTGCCGGCGGGCGGCGCCTCGCGCGCCGGCGACGCCCATATATCCTCGTAGTCGGAGATCTTGTCGGCCACCGAGCTGCGGCAGTAGGCGGCCGGCGAGTCGAGCAGGTCCGACTCCTGGTAGTGGGCGGAGCGCTTCTTGCGGCCGCGCCGCCGGCCACCGCGCGGCGGCCCCTGCAGAGCGGCTTCCTCACACGAGCCGGGCGTGGTGGCCGGCGACGCCGTGTCGACGGCCGTCTCTGGGCCAGCGCCGCCGTCGCGGCCGCCGGCTGCGATGGCGTCGCCGCTGGCGGCCCGCAGCGGCGCCGGCCCGCGGATGAACACGCTCATCTCGCTGCGAATCGTGCCGCCGCCGGGCGAGCTGACCTGGAACGTGGCCGTCGATACCATGCGCTCGGGCGCACCGCCGCTGGCGTCGCCGTAGTTGCCGTCGTCGTCTCCGTCGCAGCAGATCCCCGCCGGGGAGGAGAGCGACGGCTTGCACCAGCGGGGCGGCGGCGGCGGCGGCGCCTTCGCCACGGATGTCACCGTGCCGGTCGGGCTCCCCACGCGGCTGACGAGCTCCGGGCTGATGAGGCGCGTTAGCCCGGCATCCGGCGTCAGCGGCAGCGTGCTCGGCGGCCGCGGTCGGCCCGCCGCCGCCGCCGCTGCCGGCTCCTCGGCCGTCGCCAGCGGCACCAGGTTCAGCACCACGGCGCCGGGAGCGCTGCTGCGGCGCGGGCCGAACGAGCGCAGCGGCGCGGCGGCCGGCGCCGGCTCAGCCGCTGCCTCGGCTCGACTCGCTGCCGCCGGCCGGCTTGTTCAGGCTGCTGGCCGGCGACGACTCGGCGCTGCCGCCGCCGCCCGTGCTGTCGCTGGCGGCGCGGCCGGCCAGCCGACACGTCCAGAACTCTGCCGGAGGCGGAGGAGCAGCGTCAGACGGTCGCGCACGGCCGATCGGCCGCGCCCCGTTCGCCCTGTGCGAGAGCGCACGCACCGCCGGCGCCACAGGCCGGCACAAAGGCGCGCGGGGGAATGCGCGCTGCCGCGCGGAACGGCGCAGCACGTGCGCGGGGGACCACTCGCGCACCGTCCGCCCCTGGAGTCACACAAAGGCGCGTGAGAGCGAATGAAGTGGGCGGCGTGCGGACGGACATGCCGGCGGGGGAGACAGACTGTGATGAACGCTCGTGGTGTAACGGGAGTGTTGCAGGTCTTTAGCGCGCACGTAACTACCCGAGGAGGGCGCATGCTAGGCATAGGCAGAACCTTCAGACCTTCCTCGTCCAGCCATACACTGGTCAAAGATGGCCACCTGCGGCACGTAAATGCTCCGCACATGTATGTCACCCCGGGGTGCCGGTATCCGCGTGCTCTGGCCTCACCTTGTCCGAGGAGTGCCAGCGAGGAGAGCTGGTGACGCGAGTCGACACGCTGCAGACTGGGCGGCAGCTGCAGCAGCACCGGCAGCTCGTCCCTGCAACGCGGCCTTCCGTCAGCTGGGATGCTGAAGGTCAACGGGGGTCACACAGGTCAGCGCGGATCAAACAGGTCCGCGGGGTCAGGCAAGGTCGGGGTCAGCGGCCCGCGCAGCAGCGCGTGGGCGACTGGACCGCGCCCACTGAGTGCGGTGTCCGGAACGGCGCGGCGCCGTATCGCCGCCTCTGCACGGATCGGACACACGCGTGTGTGCGTGTGTACCGGCTGGCTTCCCGGCCGCCGCGCCGCTGTTGTAATCCGTCGTTACTCACCGTCCGGCACGGCGGGTGACGTCACACGAGCACGTGCGGGGAGACCGCGGAGGGTGGGATGGCGCAGGGAACCTTACTCCAACACGCAGGTGACCAACGGTCTACCCCGGAGGCATGCGTCAGCAGACAAGGCACGCAGACAGGGCGCAAAAACATCACACAACAGCCACATTCATGTAGACAGCGCACGCCAATGTGCACGAGGAAACATATGGACGACCCGTGACCGGATGTTTGCGCCCATTTGCGGGAAATCGGGCAGAGAGAGCAATTATTGGTTGTAGCAGGGGTTGAGACCCACAATTGAGAGTCCAAAGGATAGGTTTCGGTTTCGTCAATCCGCTCTCTAGGGCTTCGTTTCGATCGCGAAGGTCCCGATGTCCATCAAACAGTACAAAACCACACACACTGTGCATGAGCCAATAACCAGCACCAGCCGCACATGGTGGAGGACAGGCAGACCACTCACTTTGGCGCGACGAATCGTCACAAACACTGTAAGGTGCGTAAACAACACCGCTGTTTACGCACCCCGCACCTCACCCTGCAGTCAGGGGGCCACACACCTCGCCACCAACCGGCACCACACACGCACCCACAGCCTGCGGACGCACCCCTCACGCACCCACACACGCACCCGCAGCCGCGCGGTCGCACCCTTCCGGCCGGCCCGTCCGGTCGGGCCGCAGCCGGCCGCTCGCTGCGGCCCGGCGGCCAGTGACCCTCCCCGGCGGTCGGCAGTCGGCCGTCGGTCGTCGGCCGTTGCTGGGCGCGAGAGGGCGGCCGGCCCGGCGCGGGGCCGCCCCGGTATCGACTGGGCCCGCCCGACGGCCCGCCCCCGCCGCCGGCGCGGCGGCGACACCCGTCGCTCGTCGGGAGCGACGCTAATTTTAGCGGCCGCGTCGCCGCCGCCGGACCGACCGGTCGCCGGCATCGACGCCGCGCGACCGCGAACGCGACGTCGACGGCGGGAAGCCCTGGACGGGCGGGCGGAAACGCAAACACGACTGGTCCCCCTCGCAGCAGCCCCATCCCCCTCCCCGTCGGGAACGTTAATCCACCGTCAGTTTGGTGTTATTGTCCGCGGACGGTGCGGAAGAGGAAAAGTGCCCCATAACTAACAACCATAACCGGCCGATGTTAACGTTTTGCGGAGGGTCGACTAGCGTTTGCTGGGCGAAGATATTGCGTGGGCCCTAAAACAACATGGAGTCCCAAAGTAGCCTTGCAGTCATTGTAAACGTGAGCACCGTTGTGTTAACTGCTTAACCATATTACAGTAAACACTGAACTTACGCACAGTGCCCTGCATATCTGATGGGCTGCCCTTTACAGCATGGGTGTTGTGAGACTTCAGTAAACCCCAATACATGATTGAATAAGCATTCATCACGGTCATATATACCAATATGTTATAAAACACATAGCGATATGTTATAGAAACATTGACCAGCATGTTATACACGTATGCCAGCTGGTACCGAGTCACCCGCTAGCGAACATGACACAACTGTAGTATACCTTTGTATAAATTTTGCACATTTTCGTGTTGTTTACTCCGTGCATTTTATTAATCAGTGACGTGCAGTTTCCTCCTTCACATCACTGTATGGCTCAATGCGAGCCAACCAAACTGCCCATATGCGACACCGTTCCTCATCTGTCAGTCAAGTCTGCCCACGACTCGACCATCTGGTCGCCGTCCCAGCCGCCGGGCACCCTCGAGCATCCAACAGCCCCAACCGACGTGACGCGTCCCACATTTAAGAGGATTTGAATCCGAAACTGGGCAGCATTATTTCGGTCCGCGATTTTATACAGGGCTCCGGTTAGAAGCAGCGTCAGCGCGTCAGCGGGGTGGGGCGTCAGGGAGTGCCCAGGTCAGGTCAACGGTCACCCTCAGGCGACGGAGTGTCGCCCTGGGCCCGCAAAGCGCAAACTTATGCCGCGACGGGTGTCGTGGATCGGGTTATCTCGGCACCCTGCGTCCGGCTGGACGGCCGTCCGCAAGCAAAGAGCACCTTAAGCACGGCCCAAAGGACGCGTCAGGGCGCAGTTCCACAAAAGGTGTTGGGGTAGCGAGCTCAGCAGTGCAGAATTACGAAACCTTCTCCGGCCAACAAAGGGGCTTATGCCAACAGAGGGGCCAAGGGGCTTATGCCAACAAAGGGGCAAAGGGGCTTATGCCAACAAAGGGGCTTATGCCAACAAAGGGGCTTCTCTGTGAATTGCCCCACTTCGTTCTCAAAATTAGGGGGCAACCGAAGTTAGGGGCCGGGAAGCTGGCAAATCCAGCTGGTAAGGGGGGGGGGGCGGAGCCTCCCAACTGAATAGGAACTACACTCTGGGTCGTGTCGAAAGGAACTACACCCTGGGTCGTGTCCGAAAGCGAGCCTCAGACGTTCTGTCAGACCACCCGGTTCAAAGCTCTTCGACATTCAATGCGTGTTCTAATCGCAGGAATATTCACGCATCTACATCGCGGCCTTGCCCGGAGGTCTTCACCCTCGATCAGCTGATAAAAATGGGCCTCATTTGCGAACGTAGCGCGATCGCTCCGAGGATAAAGGCCGTCAAATTTTCGCCGTCTTTACACGTGGGAGGGTAATAGCCGCGTCTCACTAATTAGGGAGGTGATCGATGGGTTATCGAGGGCCGGCTATTAGCACAGCTAATACGAGGGTGAACAGACATCTTGTAGATGAGCGTATCAAGCTGCGGTCCACGCCTGTTAATTATTAATCAGTTTCTAAAGCAGTGTCGGCGGGTGGGCCACGTAAAAAAACCTTCATTCCACCGCCAGCCACACGCGCAAAAACCGTCCGCGTCTCTATCCGCCCCATTGTCCGTTCGCCCACGCGCGCAATCTCCACCATCAGCGCCTTATCGAAGCGAGTCCATCTCCCCGCCCCACCACGCCCCCGAGTCCGGCCCATTGCTGGGTCCGCCCCTGTCCCATCGCGCGGATCTCCCGCCGGCCGCCTCACCTGTGGCACGAGTAGTGGGCGATCAGGCTGGAGATGTTGTCGAACCGGTGGTCGGACAGCTCGAGCCCGAGCTTGCCGCCCTGCACGCGAACCAGGAAGTGCTCCACGTGCGGCCCCTTGCCGGGCGGCAGGCGCACAGTCAGCGCCATGGTTGGCGCCCGGCTGGACTGGCGCACGATGAACGTCTGGGGACGATCGACGACGAGGTCACTCAAGGGCAGCCCCTCACGCCAAGGAGGGGCGGCGGGGAGACAAGCCGCTTCAACTCTGCCGAACTGAGCATTGCGCAAACGGACGTTGCACGGAAAGAAACGCGTGGAAGATCTCGACGCTCGCCGTACTACCGCCTCGTGGTGAAGCCCCCGGACTTTACTTCCGGGACCGTTGGAGCTAGCAGGGTGTCAGACAAGGGGTGATGGCGGTAGCATAGCGTGGAGGCAAAAAATGTGGTAGCTGGGTCCGGCGGACTGCCAATTGGAGACGAAGTGAACGGCAGAAACACGGACCTGAGGCAAAGTGCCCGGCCGAAATAAAGATGGTCCATACGAACTGTCCATCGGGAATACGGAGCGGAAATATTAACTAGCGCGAGCAAAGGCCGGGGATGGTCTGGGATCGGAAACGGGCGAGCGATTTAGGGAGCAGTAGTGATGTTCCACCACGTTTACGGGTGCCTCGGAGACTGGAGACAAACGGTCCTGACGATGCGAAAAATCAGCGGAAGTGCGAGGTTTGCAACGCTGTGGGCCGTTATCTCACGAGGCAATACAGAGACGGCCGGTGGAGATGCAAGATCCCCCCCCCCTTCGCCCCCTCCCAGCTTGGATACAGTGACACAAAAACAATGAGCAGGTGCGCGACGTGAACAAGAAACAGTAAAACAGTCAAACAACCAAACATTCAAACAACACGCGCGCACAACACGCAGCAACAGAAGACGTCCAACGCACGCAGCAAAGATCTGACGACAAAGACACGCCGCCTGCACGTCAGCAGGGCTGAAAGCTCTCCGGACCGGGAGATAGACGAGATGAATCCCCGCTGGCGGATTCAGAACCAGATCCCCGCTGACGTACAGAATGCAGCGTTCGCAGCGCCCCATTCGCCCTGACAGCAGAATTAATGAGATCGGTATGGACCAATGACAGGGCGAGAATAGCAGGGTACTGTTCAACTTTTGCAGGACACGACTCCACTCAGAAGCTCGGCCGCGAACAAAGGCGCTGGACAGCGCCTTGTGAAGGCCTGAAGTGCGGGTGCAGCCACACGACAAAGGGCTTTGGTTAGTGGTTCAGTCTGCGTCACTTAACATTTCCGGGGCCCTTTCATCATCATCATCGCCTCACCGAGCTAGTGGAAATTACGGTGATTAGGCTATTGTAGTCGAAGCAAAATGATCGCTATGTTTTATTACAACCGTGGCGAAAGGTCAAGCGAGGTCTTGTGACGACCAAAGACGTAGAGCTGCTTGCATCGACACCATCGATACACCCAGCTCCGCACAGCCGGGGGCAAACCAAACCAAGACTCGCGCGTCACCTCTGCCCCCACAACAGGAGTGACAAGGGACAGCGGGAATACACCAGACCAGGACAGCGGTCGATGCCAGGGAGCAGGGACACCAGGCGGCGCCACCTCCGCGCCAGACGGTGCGCGGCCCGGCTTAGGATCCCATCTCAGTACACCTGTCACCGCTGCCAGCTGGCACGGGTTAAACGCGCACACGGCCCCTCTGGCCCGGCTGTGACGGAGCGGGCTACAGCGCCAATGTCGGTCAGGCGCAGAGGAGAAACACGTCAGGTGGGCGAGCAACGCTCGCAGAATAGAGCGGAGGATGTGCCAAATGCGTCGGCACGCGGTGGAGCGTCGGATATGCCGACTGTTTCTCATCAGGCGATGCCAAGATGGTGTGTGGAGACATTTCCCCTCCCTTCCCCACCCCAGAAGCAAAACACGGGGTATGTCATCCGCATCCTTTCGCAGCGAGGGGAAAGAGGCACGTTGTAGCATCCACTACAGCATGCTCTATGACGACAAGAGGAAAGGATGCGGGCGACGAAAGATTACGTCAGCTTTTCTTGGGGGAAAAGCGCTGCCATGAGGTGGTACGCCGGCTCATTTCATGTCATTCAGGGTGGCCAAATCCGAACAGCCCGGGGCCAATTTGGTCGGCATTTCTCTCAGTAGGCCGCACGCCCGGTGGCTGAAAGGCCAACAGTGCATGGGAAGCTTAACCCGCTGAAGAAACGAATGTATGAGTGATGTTCCGGCAATCTTGCTCTGTAATCTCGCTCTTAGAGAGTACACGCCATGATAGCTCCCGCGCAAGCCCACATGACAGGCACCCGGCTCATCTCACCCCACGAGAGTGAGAATCGGGGGGGGGGGGGAGTCTAACGGTCCCGTAAGCTCCATCCTCTCATCTCATCACACCGGAGAAGATGAGAAGGCCTAGTGTCCCCCCAATCTCATCGCCGGAAGCCTACAGCCGGAGCCCGGTGCCGCAGGTGATCTCACCCCGGGCGGTTTGTCCTGCAGCAGGTGTTCGGCGCCGGCGCGGTGCAGCCCCGGCAGGAACCAGACCGGGTGGGAGCGGATCAGACGCTCAGTGACGCTCATCTGGGCCGGCGGACCGCCGTACTCCGGCTCGCTACCCGAGGACACGGCGCTGTCCTCCTGGAACGGGGTCAGACGAGGTCAGACGCCAGGTCACGAGAGATCAGGACCAGGGTCACAAGAGTTCAGACGCTGGGTCGCTGCACGAGACGCCGCTGCTCTCCTGGAGCGGGGTCAGAGGGTTCAGAGCCAGGACCATAAGAGGTCAAACGGTGAGTCTCCGCATGAGATGCCGCTGTTCTCCTGGAACGGGGGTCAATACGAGTCAAACGAAAGGTCATCGTAAGAGGCCACGCTGTCCTCCTCGAACGGGGGCGGAACATCTTAGACGCGAGATCAGTACCGAGGCCAGGAAAGGTCAAACAACAGCTCAGTGCGTGAAACGGCGCTGTCTCCCGGAATGGGCAGAAAGGGTTAGACTCCGGATCACTGCGCGATGATACGGCCATGTCATTCAGTGTGACAAGGTCACCAAGGGTCAGGCTTAAGACGACGGTCTGTACACCATGATAAGGGTCACCCCCAACGAGTTCCGCATCCACATGCGGATCCCGTCGACCGGGCTTCGCCACTGTTGGCAGGGCTTAATGCATGCTCAGATGTCACATCCACGAAGCAACAAAGGTTCATATCTCATGAGAGGTATTCCATGAATGCATATTCAGCGGACGCTTCATGGGAACAGCCCGGGGAACGCGGCATTGTTTGACGATATCCTGAGAATGAGAAAGCCAACAAGGGCCACCAACCCGAAGCGTCCACATTCGATGCTCGGTTGAATGGTAGCCTATGGAAAGCGTTTGACATATTCTTCGAAGACGCCGCACCAGGTCAGGGCGGAGGTCAGAGCCTGACCCCGATGCCGCCTCGTCTCCTGTGCCGCCACGCCTGGACGGAGCGTGACACGGCTGTCTCGGCAGAAGGTCACTAACACTCCACTACCTCGGCCGACCTGTTCCTTCGACAAGAACGAGGCTCGGGAGCGCGACACGTAAAAACCGGGGATGTGACGCGGCGCAGCACGGAAGACCCTCGTCAGCCTCAGCCCGACAGCCACGTGACAGTTAACGAGGTCGGACCGGGTCACGTGGTACACGCGGTCAGCAGGGAAAGCTGGGCTCGACACGGCCAGGGCGACCCACAGGGGCCGCGCGGGACGGCGGAGGTAGCAGGTGCGCCACTTTTTGTCGCACCTCCCACAATAGGTCACTGGCCAAACACATAGTTGCGCGGGGCGGTATGTGGTCAACCGCTTGGCGTGGAATATTTACAGCCAGTCCGTTAAAACGGCGAACGAGAACGCACGTCGAACATAAAATTGAGGCACTGCAAGTGCAAAGCAGAGTCATCGCCAATGTGTTACCTGATAAGAGAGCAGACGCGGTGACCTACAACTGTGAGAAGTGGTTTGCATAAAAATGTTAACCTTCTCTCAGTCTGAAACACCAGCATATGCATTTGCAGGCAGACGAGTCTCTCCGCCCCTCGCGGGAACATCTGCGTAGGACACGTCAATGCTTAAAAGCCTGTGATGCTCAACGCCTCGCTAAGCTCCAGCAATAATCATTATCACGCCAGGCAAACAAGTAGCAATCAGCTGCCGCCGATTATATCAATCCCCGACATGAGCGGCACGGTTCCTTCTAAAGCTGACAACTAACCGAATCAACGTCGTATTAGCTCTGGGCTCGCAGGCTGCACCCGAATGCTTAGTTATGTACGCAGAAGGGTGCATGCGGAAAGCGCATGCATGCACGATGTATAGCTGGAATAAACCTACCTCACATACATGCACGCAAAACAGCGTAATAATGTGTCTTTATGCGATTCAAACAAGACATTCGTAGTTGGGATGCAGCACAGGATGATGGCAAAGGCGGAGGCGTCGTGCAACTCTCATGCTGAAGGTGGCATGGCCGTTACTTCAGATTAAAAGGCGCTGCAATACGATAAGGTACCAAGCCGGAACTTTCCACAAGTCATCCGATCTGCACCCTTCGCAGATAGCCATTTTTTCACAGGTTCTTAACATGCCCGCCCAATGCCAAGCACTGCGAGGTCTCCACTCTGGCACTGCATTAGTGTGCCACTACCGACGCACTGACACCCAGGGGCATTTCTTTGACGCGTAAGGTGACTGGGAATCCACGAGCAGCTGCTGCGAACGGCAGCCCCGCTCACTGCTCACTTCGCGTACGCGCTGCATTGGTCCCGAGGCTTGCCCGGTGTGAGAGCTATAACGGCTTTTTGTCGCGAACTCCACCCTAAATTTGAATTGGGCGACCGTTAACAGGTTACGCGTATTTCAGAACCAATGGGGGCAGCTGGTGCCCAATCATCGGGGACCGGTGGGAACCGGAACAAACCCATGGGTGGTGCTGGCCGCGTGGCAAATGACGGACCTTTCGGCCTGGCCCAGACCATTACCACCTCATTACTAGTCCCCCACAGTACAACAGCTACCTGGCCGCGGACCGGCCGCTAAATTACGGAGCCATCACCTCCGTTACCATTTAAGTCTCGGCGCTACCTCCCGGTTTCAAATCGGCCACTCGGCAGAGGTCAGAGAGGTCGGCCGGTGAACGGCCCTGATCCGCCGTAACCGATCGCTGGTGGAGGGCGGCGGACAGGCCGCCTGCACCGCCGCGCGTGCCGACCGGGGCCGCGCGGCCGCCACGTAACGGGGCGGGGCTCGCGCCGATGGACCGTGCCGCTCGCCGCGGTCGTCCGTGACGGCCCGCCGCCGCCGCCGGTGCGCCGCGTCCGTCGTCCCCGACGCTGCCCTGCGCCGTGTTTGTGTTGAGCGGCGACGGCACGTGACAACGCGATACAGGAGCGCTTGGGCGGTGCGAGGGAATGGCGTCTATGGACCGCGAGAGAGGGCCGCCACATGGAGGCCGGCCGACGGAATGCCGACGGGGTGGGCTGCTGACCTGGTTCCTGTTGATGCTGAGCTGCAGCAGCCTCTTCTGATCCGACATCACGTCTGGTGAGGTGGACAAAGGGTCGCTGTCCGAGTTCATCCTGGAACCGGAGAGTCTGGTGTCAATCCGTGGTCGGGTCGCGGGCGAGGGTGACGGAGATGTGCGAGCCAAATACAGGGAAAACAAGAATGGAGAAGGGCAAGAAAAAAATACCAAATAGTGCCAACATATATATGTATATACATATATATATATATATATATATATATATATATATATGTATATGTATGTATGTATAGGTATATATGGGGCAAGAGGGGACACATACAAAGGACGGAAGCAGGCGGGGAGAGGTCAGAGGCCCAGAGGCCGAAGGTGAGAGAGGGAGAGAGAAAAAGAGAAAGAGGGGTGGGGGAGAGAGAAAGAACGACGGAGGAAGCCGTCGAAAACGGGTCAGTGAACCTCGTAACTGACCATTTACCGGTCGTCCTCATAGGACCGGGCACAGACCCCTCAAGGACGCCACCGAAGCAGGGTTAAAGAGTACAACGGTGAAACTAGCCCTCTGATTACACTGTGGCGCTTGTCGGCTCGTCTCGCCTCACAGTTGAGACAAAGTAATCCTCGCTGCTATGGGTAGGCGGAGCAACTACCTTCAGCTCAGTGTGGGTCATGGACAGGCATGCTGTCCTGGGTCTAGTAAAGCCATGGGCAGGCAGCGCAATTGCCTTCAGCTCAGTGTGGCTCACCATGTTGTCCCGGGTCTTGTAAAGCTATGGGCAGGCAGCCTCGCTGCTATGGGCAGGCAGGGCAACTACCTTCAGCTCAGTGTGGCTCGCCATGCTGTCCTGGGTCTAGTAAAGCGTGACATATGGCTTACGTTAAGTCCAAGATCCGCAATAACGAACATAAAAAGGCGTGTTGCCGTTTCTGGACAGCCGCATAAGGTATGATGTACTTGATCACGTTAGGCCTTCTTGGAACAGACCTTAATGATGGTTTTTTCCTTCATTAACGATAATGGTGTCTGCAAGACAGCGCCAATCCACGACGCATTAGCAGTGACATCCCTGTCGTTTTTATACTGCACCGCCTAAAGCGGCGGATGTTAGCGCCCCATCGCAAAAGCGAGCACTTAAATAAGATTCGGTGACAAATGCTGACAAACCGTTCTACAAAGCTACCACAAATGGGGATAAATGTGTACAAGTCTGAAAGCACGCTTTGTCTATGACCTCGGTTTGAATATTTTCGACGAGCTTCCTGCATTCCTTACATAACGTCCAAGGGCCGGGTCCCGCACGAAAGCGTTCCTCTCATGTCCGCTTTCCGCGCGTTGATAACACAGTCGCCCCACCGTCGTTGCACGCTCAATCTCACATACCCCCCCCCCCCCCCCCTCTCCCCCTCGTCGCCCGTCCGTGCGGCGCGTCACCCGCTCTGGGATGCGCCGCTTCTGTCCCCTCCTCCTCCTCCCTCACCCCTGTGTCCGCCGGCCCGGGGCTGGCAGATGACCTGATGTACCTCCGCCGCCGACACGGCACGCGCTGCGACCGTTGCAATCCGACAGTGCCGGGCACCCGCTCTGGGAGTGCCGGCACGCGCCGGCAATGTCCGGATTTTCGTGGCGGAGGGGGCGACATTGAAGGGGCCCCGAAAAGTGTCCTGATGGGATGTCTGAGCTCTCAAGACGTCTATGGGGCTATCATGACACCCTCTTGAGAGTATAAGTCGTAGACGCTAATGATGCCTTTGATGTGTCTTCTTGAGAACCCGTGACGGGTTTAGACCCTGTTTCGTGGGTCCTGTGCTCTTGGCCCCTTGACATTCTGGTGCGCCGCAGTGAGCTGCTCATCAAAATGAAGCGTCGTTCGGACATGTTTCGAGCATATGAGATGCGGCGCAGCTTCTGCACTCCAATTCGCACTCCCTTTAACACGCTCCGTGGCTTCGCAGTGACCAGCGGCAGGGTGCGGTCCCGGGTGCTTCCCTCCCTGTGTGCTCCTCTGCCTCTGGCCTGCAGGCGGCGGCCGCCGCCGCCTCACTGCAAACGAGGGCTCAAGGGCGGACGGCTGGCGGCCGATAGCCAAATAGACACGAGGCTCCCGATAAGCATCCTTGGCCGCGCCTGCTTTGGCACGTTTCCGACAACAAAGCTGCAGCGCAGCGTGCCGGCCGTCGGTCGGGCGGGCGGCCAGTCGGTCGAAGCGATCTGTCCCGACGGCTCGGTCGCAGCGGCGCTAGCTGACGTCGGCCCCACGTGCCGGCGAGCGTCCGCCCCCAGCTCGGGAGTAGCCCCCCGCGTTCCCTCCGTTGCCAGTGGCTCCGGCGGGCCAACGCCGGTTCGGTGGTATGCTTCGGGACGCGTTGAGCTGTTGTGATCGGAGGCGGTGTAGTCGTGCATCGTTCCCAGTCGGAAAAACCGAAACACACGGCTTGTCGTAGACTGGGGACCAAGGACTTGATTCTTCGACGAACGCTAGCCACCCCCACCCCCCCCCCTCTTCCCCCGACGCAGGAGCGACGCGTCCCATCCCGCTCCCTCACCGAGCCGCGAAAATATGGACGAGGGAACACGCATTGGGGGCGCGATTGGTGATGCAACGCTACACAGCATCGGTCAAACCCTCCGTTTTCGACAATCATTCTGACTGTTTCTGGGCGAGGCGCGAGTAGCAGTTTCAGCCGATGAAAACGACATAAATTTGCACGTGTAAAGCGCGGGCGTGCAGGGGAGGGCACATCTATGCACCAACGCGCCGCTCAGCACTCCTCTAGGCAGAGCAAATGTGAACGCGTTGTGATTGTGATTATCATGTCCAATGACGTCCCGCTGCACCTGCAACGTGAATGGGTTTGAACGATTATTCACGTGTCAGATATATTACCAGGGCACCGTGCATCAAGCTTAAGTCCGACAACGTTATCCAGTGGGCTACCTCCATATGTCATTGACCCCACTGAGCACCTTTGAATTTGCCGCAAGCCAATGGCTCAACAAACGTCTGACAGATAGAGCGGCTTCCCCGCCGCCTTTGCAACGATTGCCGTCATTCACAAACTTGACTGGGAGCCCACAGATGGCCAGCGCGCACCTCGGTCGAGCTCCACCCGACGCCTCTCCACCGACGGTCCGGCCACGGCCGCTCGGGCCGTCCCGCGAGGTCGCCCTCCCGGCCGCCTCCCCAGCCGCCTCCCCGGCCGATCAGATAGCGCACGGACAGGCCCGCTGCGGCCGCGGGCGCCGCCGGGCGCCGCCGGGCGTGTTCGTGGCGGGCTCGTTATTTCGGCTCAGTCAGCCATGCGCCGTCGCCAGTTTCGTCCGGCCGATTACGCTATCTCGGCGCCCTCGCCGGTTTAACCGCCCGGAGTCGGAGTTTTTCGGCGCTGGCCGCGCGCCGAGTCTCCAGCGGGGACGTGGTCGGGCTGGTGCTGGTGCTGGTCGGGCTGGTGGTCGGCTGGTGCCAGGCGGCAGGAGGAAACTGCAGCGTGTTACCGCCGCTCCCGTGCCCGGCTTACAGGGGTGGCAAGGACGGGTTCGGCACGCCGAGTCGGCGCCGATCTTCAGCAGTGCATCCGATAAATGCACCGCTATCGGGTGTTCTCCGATAGCGTGTACCGATTACGGGGGACGGCCGGCCAACAACCGGATGAAACGAATTCTTCCGGACGCCCTGTGACCGGCCGACAGGCATCAAACTCCCGTCGTTTTTAACGACCGGGATGGACGGGCGTGACACGTTGTTCCCAAATAGTCAAGGTCAGAGGTCTTGGTCCGCACGCACAAGTGACACAATTCTCTCCGGTCCGCTTCGAGGGAACGATGTGCACTTGACGTGAAAGAGAGCAGACACGCGCCAAAGGTGAATTGGAAAGCGTGTCAAATGGTCCACAGCGCGGCCAATTTCGTCATGCTTCGACACACAATACAATACGTGCTTTGAAGTCGTGCACGGTTGCCTGCTTGCTAACCTGACATTTATAGTTTGCTTGGCGTGCTTTGTGGCGTCTTGCCTCCGTCCGTGAAACGCGGACAACAGGAACCTGCGCCTCACCATAAATCAAAACACAACAGCACGGCACAAACAGCCGCAGTCGCTCATAGCGGTCGTCACAGCGCGCCGAGCCGAGCCAGGCGTTCCGTGTCGTCACCAGCGCTGCAGCCCCGTAACGCCCGAGTTCGGAGCACGTCGCTCGAGTCTGGAGAGATGCAGCCTCGTGACGTTCGCGTCTGGAGCGTCGTCCCGCGCGCCAGGTCACCGTTTCGTGCGCCGACGGGTCGCACCGTTCCGTGCCACTCCCCAGCCCCGGCCGGGTCACCCCGCGCACGGAGCAAGTCCACCGGGACACGGGTTCGCCGGGGGCCCCTCTGGCGGCGCTGGTGACGCGCTCGAGCTGACAAACAGACGCCGCGGCGTCCAGGTGGGTGTGAGGTATGACACTGACGAGGCCTCGAAGTGTTGTTCCCGAGTAGCCAAGGACGGGTCCGTGCGACACAATGCGGTCGTTTTCCCACAACATGTCAGATCTGTCACGCGTCTGGCGCTGCCTTCACCGGCCGAGGCCGCTGGCACGGCCTCTGCGCGTGGCCGGTGGCCCTCCTCTTGGCCTCTGTTCGTGGCCGGTGACCCTCCTCTTGGCCTCCCTCGCGGGCCGTGGCTCTCCTCTTGGCCTCTGTTCGTGCCGGTGG